TTTGTATTTAAAGTTTAAGCAGAGCTTACAATGCTTTCATACACACTACGCCCTCTGACTATCTCCCCTCGTATTACAGTTGATTAATTTTAATAAAAATTAAACGTTAATACGTTATTGAAAAAAAAAAATGTTTTCTTTTATTGTAGTACCTATATTACATAGGTATGCACAGCAGACTTAAATTTTAATTAGTGCCTATAATATTTTTGTGCTCTTTTTAAATTAATCAAGTAACTGAAGTAACTTAAATACATTATTATGTATCTACATTACTTGAATTTTGATAAACTATAAACATACATCATTAAAATAGGTAACAATTATTACAAATTTATAATTATAAATCATGAGTCATGACATTGGTACGCCTTTTACTTAAATTATCAACAATAACAGAATCTTAATTAAATTTGAGATTCCTGATTTTCAATCCATCCCTGCTTGAGACATGTATTTAATATTGTAGAAAAATTAGAATATTAGATACAATAATATTTCATATCATTTGATTATCCAACAAATGTTCCTTTTTTTGTCCTTTTTTATTCCACTTTTGCCGTTTTTCTTTTGGTATAAGAGTATACACCTCACTATCGATTGTTCTTAGCTGGATTATTTCTAGTTTTCAATTAGACCATAACTCATAACAGTCATAACTCATAAAGAGTTTTGTATTCATGGCCTGAGTTCCCTGTGGGATTTAGTATATAACAACTATACTAATAGCTTCAACACATAAGTTATTCGCTTTATAAAAAAAATTTTTTTAGTTCGTAAAACATGTGTCAAATTTTTCATACATACTAGATATTTTGATGACATCTATTGATATCAGTGTTCTACTGTATCAACCTTTTTTGTTAAATTTCTTTTTCCATTAATTGTTTAAATTTCATTGTAAATAATTATTTATTATCTCGAATTCCGCGTCTACTATTTTTCCATTATTGACGAATTTTGATTTTTATGTAGTCCATGAAGAGTTGCAAATTTTTTCACTAGACATACAATTAGTTTGATATAAATTGCTTAATTATGATACCCAGTTTGAAGTCTGTGGGACCATGTGGGAGAGGCAACATTTCTTGTTTCTGAAATAAAATATAAGAATTTATTATTTTTTTAGAGTATATTTTAGTAATTTTTAGTAGGTTATTGTCCACCTTAATTTTATATTATAGTGGCTTATCCAAAATGCACAGATATATCATTATCTCTCTATATACATTTATACTAAACTAAAAATGTACTATTTATACTGATGTAGTATTTATGCTATATTATTCCTTTTGTAGAGTGCAACACTAGGTACTCATTTGTACTTAAAACGTCAGCCAAGATCATTATCCCTCCTATTAATTCTGTTTATTATAATATTGTACTACTGTAGTACAGTAAACTGTTCCGTCATTTTATGAACCACCCACATGGCGCAGTATAGATCTGCACAATTATCCTAAACATTGTGCGTGTTACATCGTTATTTATTCTGCAATCTAAAAATAACATTATAGTGTTTTATTCTTTAGCCTTGCACATCTGTACGCAGGAAGTAGGTAGATACTCATAATAATAATATACATAGCGATAGCTTAAGTAAGTAAGTACTTATTTTAATTATTTTTGTATCTTTTATTAATTCATGAAGAAAAAAATTTAAAAATGAATTATAATTATAAGTAATAATGGTACTGGTTTAGATGATCCACGCCAAGAAAGTATTCTCCCTCCACATAGGTTTAGTTGACGCCCGCTATGTACATCTAACGTGTTTTCGATGTTTTAACTTCTAAGTTCTAAACATTTGTTATAAATGTGTTATTGCCAATGAATCATAGTGCACTTAACTAAAAATTTGTCAAAAATTCATGTTTTTTTTTTTATAGTTTTAAGGTATTTTTAGTACATTATATATATTTCAGTGATTACGAAGACTGAATAACTTAGGTAGATGCTCTGTAATATTTATACAATTCCCGTTGTTGTACGTACCTATCTTATATTACTAATTTTATTACACGGATTTTACCAAACATTATTCTTAAAATATCTAATAAGTGAATTTCACACAAATACCTAACGTCTATAATTTATTGAACCTTTTTTATCTACACTAATATATTTATAACAAATTATTAGAACATCGAATACACGTTAGATGTAAATAGCAGGCGTCAACTTAATCTGCGTTGTGAGGGGTCATATAAATTATACACTAGTACTATAATAATACCACTAAAATCATAGATGGAGATCGGCGAAGGAAGACAAACAGAGCTTGTAGCTAATCACCAATTCTTTCTCCCCCTCAGAAAAATAAAATAAAAATATTCACATATTGTAAGTATATTGATATTTTATAGCATGTAATATTAGAAGTATTGAATGATTTTTTGTGGTTCTGAATTATTAATAATTTAGATAGGTACTAATCATTATATTCTATTTTGGAATATTCATGGTATATGTACCTATATTGCAGCGGTTCCCAACCCATGGGCCGCGAGCCATAAGTATAATATTATTAAACATTATATATATTTAAAATAATATTATTATATTTCTGATCATAATAACATTTAATCAATTTTAACTATAGTGTACAATAAGTGTACAAGTAACAAGTTTTAATCCGGATATTGACTTTCTCGTGAAGAATAAGCAATGTCAAAAATCACATTAAATTGTTTATCTAGTGATAAAGTTGAATTAAGTTTTTTTTTTAATAAACAATTTTTTTTTTAAATTTTTTAAATTTTTTATTCCTAATAACTATATATATATATATAATATATAACATGTTATGTTATATATTATAATTTTAAGAAAACGTATAGGTATGCTATGGATGGGCCTCAAATATTTTTTTACTAAATTAATGGTCCGCGAAACTAAAAAGGTTGGGAACCCCTGCTCTATTGGTTAATTTTAATAAATGGTTTGACCTGTTTCATTTTAGAAATAAAATCTTTTTTTATTAATCGGGGCACTTTAGTTGCGTTTCGTCAAGGTGGTATAAACGAAAATTTTGCATCCCACTGTTATAGTAATATAATATTGGTTAGGTAGTAGATTTATTTTTATTTCAAGAATTTCTAAATGGTATATTTATAACTGACAAGGAGTCCTGAGCTCTGAAATTATTTTTCTATGTAATAATATACGTATAATAAATAGATTTTTGCCATTTGCTAGTTGATAATCAATAATAAGGGAGTTGTCGCTTATCGTCTTCACGGTCAATAAAAAATCGGCTTCTTCGCACTTTACTATACTATTGGTTAAGTTTAGTATGCATAATACACGCAACACACACATATACATATATATATATATATATATATATACATATACTTAGTTTCGCAATGTTCTAGAGTTACTAAGTTCACAAAAAATACTTGATTAGAAATAATGGCATAAGTAATAAGTAGTTTGTATTCAGTTAACAATAAATTATAAAATAAATGTATTATATTTATGTAACAGTTAGGTAGATGTTTAAGAACTATGGATTAAAATACATGTATTACATATCTGACCCTTGAGACACAATTCGTTTATACCTTAAATAGGGGAGTTAATAATTCAAAATTTACCTAAGTAGAGCATATGTCATTTAGGCGAAAAATTAACCGATAGTTAAGGCGAATTTATAAACTATTGAATTATAGGGAAGTAACATATTTACCTAGACAAATAACTAAATATTTTTATCATATCGTTTCGGCTGATTGATAATAATTAATAACTATTTTATAGTGTCAAAACCAATTTACAAATATTGAAATATACATTAAAGCCATGAGAAAAATAATAAACAGGAAAATTAACAATAATTATATTAAACAAATGGGTTATGAGATACCATCATACTAATAAAAAAAATTAAATTAAGCTAATAAATATAATATAATAAATTATATTTTTCATCATACCACTTAGAGTTAACTGAAAGTCCTAGGTCTCTAAAATCGAGAAGAAAAACGTATATCCACCCAAATGATGTGTATAAATTAGCCCAAACGATATGTTATTATAGGTTAAGGAAAGCCTCTCATTAATATTCATCGTGTTCTAGTTTCAAGCGATCGAAGTAAATGTTATTGATATTAAGTATTAATTAAAGTATCAATACACTATTGTTCAATCCGTATGTCAATAAACAATCGTTAATCGTTTATCATAGTTTAAGTTTAATTTGTAGTTATTACAATATTAATTATTATCTTTGATGATTATTATTAATTGATATTCTTATGGTTTATGTATTATATTTTTAATTGCAAAATTAAGTAAAATAATTTATCAACTATGATCAAGATAATATGATCATAATGAATTAAATGTAAAATTACAGTATAAATTTTATTTTACAAAACGAAAGCCTCCTTAACAATATGACTAAATCTCTAACTGTATGTTACCAATAAACAGTATTTTTTTAATTAAACCTAGATACATTTTCTAAGTATGTACATGGGTAAATTAAAATAGGTACATACTATTACACATTTGTGTATAAATTTAATCGATTTAATGGCTCGCTAAAATTTAATAAACCAATTATGGTACACTAAATGGTGTTTAAGGGGACCATTAGTAATTGACTAGTGATTGTTAATGCAGCCTACTGCTTAGCATAAGTATTATAATTTATCCCGTGTTTTTTAACCAACGACATGAATTCAAAATTGTTTTTTCCGCAACGACAGAGTTCTGGGTTCAAATCTTTAAAAAAATATCTGTACGCAACAATTAGTGGCGGCATCTATCTAAAAACCAGGAAACTATCGAAACCGTACTATTCGGCATCAAATATCAATATTATTTGTGCCCAAACAGTCGAGATACGAAGCGGCATCGCTTTATCTTTATCACGGGTAGAAGATAATTATAAATTACATATTATTATTATTATTATTATTTATTTATTATTACCTATAATGTAGTTATAAACTTTTGTGATATTACGTAATTATGTATTTATATATATATGTAATCTATTATTATTATTATTGATTATTAATAGACAGCACGATGTAGAAATAGAAAAAAAATATTTCGCTAGGCAGTTGAACGATTTATTATAACCAAAGGTATATGTGTATTTAAATCGTACGTATGAATGTATATTATTATACAATAGTAGTTACCATTACGACTTTAATGTGATTTAATTGTGTGTTATTATTTACTTTGTGCCTTGTGGTGCTATATTATTGATGATTACGTGTTTGATACAAAATGCATATTGCATATTATTACTGTGTTGCATCTTGTGAACGATCTAGAAATGGAAATGACCGTTTCGTGGTTGTGAGAAATCATATTGATATTGTGTATGCAGTCGTTAAGTTTAGTTGGCTAGCGCAAGACGAATGACATTTAACGAATAATTAGTGTTGGACAAGTAGAAATAATAATTAATTTAAATCATACGTATGAGTGATGTAGATAGATTAATCTACATTCCGATATTTCACTTATCCGTACGCGGTTAAGTTTTACGGTTTGAATAAGTTTCTAAGCTCTGGACCATAATGATTCTAATTTTTACTAACCGTTATCAATTTCTATGTGTGATGAATTATCATAAAAAAAAATTTGGTATACTGTTGTAGTTGATTAGTGTACTACCTAAATCCTAGTACAAATAGTTTACCTAACGTGTTCAAAAATGATTTGTTTACTCTAGGTATAGGCATTAGGTGCAAACACTAATACCTATACAAAGTTATAAACTGAATCACTAAATTGGGGCTCTTTGAAAGTAAATAATTATGGAAGATGTTGGTGACATCGAAGACTTAATATCATCCAATGACGATGTTGCTGAAATTGGTAGAATTAAACCTAGGAACATGGTGTTTCTGCGTCCCAAAATTAAGGACAAATCACCAAGGGAAATTCATCAGCTATCATCTCAAGTCCCTGGCACCCAAACAATATTTATTAAGACTTGGGGATGTTCACACAACAGCTCAGATGGAGAATATATGGCAGGGTTACTATCAAATTATGGATATAAAATAACTGGTAAGAGTAAAAATCTTTAATAATTATTTTTTGGTAAACAAAAATATTTATTTTAAGAGGACAAATCTGTTGCTGATCTTTGGATACTAAATAGCTGTACTGTAAAAAATCCAGCTGAAGATCATTTTAGAAATGAAATTTCTGCTGGGAAAAAATCTGGGAAATTTGTGGTAGTGGCTGGTTGTGTACCTCAGGGTGATCAAAAGTCTCCATTTATTCAGAATCTAAGTGTTATTGGCGTTCAGCAAATAGACAGAGTAGTAGAAGTAGTAGAAGAAACATTAAAAGGTTTGTTAAATAAAATTTCTTTTGCATGAGACAATATTTTTACTTACTTTTAATAGGACATACTATTCGTTTGTTGGGTCAAAAGAAGATAAATGGAAAAAAAGATGGCGGTGCCAGATTACAATTACCAAAGATGCGCAAAAATAAATTAATTGAAATCATTGCTATTAGCACTGGATGTTTGAATCAGTGTACCTACTGTAAAACAAAACATGCAAGGGGAAACCTTGGTAGTTATCCTCCAGGTAACTTAGTAACGTAGTGATATCCACTGACAGTTATAAGTTCTTATTACAATTTTTACAATCTAGATGAAATTGTACAAAGAGCCATAGAATCATTTAATGAAGGTGCTGTTGAATTATGGTTAACAAGTGAAGATACTGGTGCATATGGATTAGATATAAAAACAAATTTACCAGAACTTCTTTGGCGTTTAGTTGCTATTATACCTGAAGGTTGTATGATGCGTATTGGTATGACTAATCCACCATACATACTCAATCATCTAGAGGTTTAGTAAAATCATACTTGATGTTAGGGAATAGGTTTTAATTATTTTTTTAAATAGGAAATAGCTAAGATTTTATCTCACCCTAGAGTATATGCATTTTTGCATGTACCTGTACAATCTGGAAGTAATCAAGTACTTGCAGACATGAAGCGTGAATACTCTATCGAAGAATTCGAAACTGTTGTTACTTTTTTGCGACAAAGGTAAATTAAAATTATTTAAACTATTTAAATTGTATTATTAATACTTATGCTTTTTTTACTAGAGTACCCGGTGTTTCTATTGCGACAGATATTATTTGTGGTTTCCCAACTGAAACAGAAGAAGATTTTTCTCAAACAATGAGTGTTTGTGAAAAATATAAATTTCCTAGTTTATTTATTAATCAATTTTACCCACGTAAAGGTACACCAGCTGCAAGAATGCCTAAAATTCCCACAGACATGGTAATTAATAAATATAACTTGTATTTTTATAAAATTACAACCAAATTGTATTTAAAGGTTAAACTTCGAACTAAACGCCTAACTGAATTATTTCATTCGTATACCACTTATGACCATAGAATTGGAGAAGTACAGGAGATTTTAATAACCGAAGAAGCTAAAAATGGTATTGAGTTAATTGGACATAATAAATATTATGAACAGGTTAGTTACAAAAATTAATCATTTAAAATCCTAAATCAAGAATATTTTTTAACTCACTAGTCTCCATATTTTATTGAATAATTACAAGAAAATAAGGGATTTTTATCAGAATCTATCCTATTTTTAACTACTATATATAAAATAAATAATCAGTATCAATTGATAGATAATTGTTTAGTGTGCTCCTTTAACTATAATAAATACTAATACGAATTATACATAAACTTTAAATTGTAAATTTTTTTCAGGTTTTAGTGAGAAAAGAACCAGAGTTAATGGGCAAGTGTATTAAAGTAATTGTGAAGTCTGCAAAAAAACATTGTCTAATAGCTGAAATGGTGGATAAACCAAGAATTATTAAAAATAATCTTAAAAAAATCAACGATATGTACTCAATTTGGCCATTTTTTGCTTTATTGGTTTGCATTTTAGCAAGAATACTTTGGTTATTAGTGTAACACAAAATATAATGTAGTGTATATAAAAAAAGCTTTAACACATTTTCATGACCTCCATGTAACTTCAACTTCATCTGTCCTAAACCTAAGAAAAATTATTTATGATTAAATTAAGACTATTTTAGCAAATAATTATTTATTTTATTTATTAAATATTTTAATAATTAAATAATACCTTTGTGTACAAAATGTGTTTTCCCATGTAGTCTTATATCCACTATTATGCATTAAAGTTCCAGTATGAGCTATCATTACTCCATTGTCTATACAAAATCTATTATAAACAAACATTTAAAAATATTATATCAATATTGATTTTAGATTTTAAATGAAGCAAAAAATGTATTGATTCAATGTTCATTTATGATATTAATTAATACATATACAAAGTGATCAATTTTAATAATTAATACTTATTATTTTAACATTTTTAAAATATTTTTTTTAAATTGTTTTATCTTCATTTTTTTTTAAATGAATGAATGACAACTTACATTTTTAATTTTATATTTTGAAGAAAATATAATTATAACTAATACTTTGAAACATAAAATTAAGTTTTAAAGAAAAATTAATTATTTATGAAATTTAAGTATTTGAAATCTATAATAAAAGAATAATAGAGTGATGGGGATACTCCACAAAAAGTTGGTCCATTATTCTCAACTATAAATTATTTACTTATAACTCAATTATAAGTAAAGTAATAACTAAGGCTCAGAATTGAATGCATTAAAATCCTTCAAAATGCACTAAAAACCTTATAAATGTATTAAAATTTCAATACAATTAGTATACAATGAATTAATTATTAGTATATTAAAGATGTTATTAATTAAGTAAACAGAATGTGAAACATTTTATATTGAAAAAGTAATAAAAATAAAAAAAAAAATAAAAGTTTTAAAATTAAATTCATTAATATATTTTAATTCAAACTTTATGTTAATGAAACCATGTTTTAACTTTTATAGTATATGCTATAACATGTATTTATTTTTTTAAACTCACAAAATTCACTTCTGGGAAATTTAGAAATTTGTGCATTTTATCTAATTATACAGTCATTATTCATTAACATAATTTTAGTTAAGAACATTGGTGGACATATAATAAAGATTTTTACTTTGAACAGTTATATTTAAAAGAATTTTATAAGTAAGAAAAATAATTATAAAAACAGAAAAGTCCACAATACTAATATGGTTGAAGTGATAAATCTAGTTACTTCAAATGTTTAACAATAATTATTTAGGCAGTTTTACTAAGCATGGATGAATCTTAAATTATATTATAGAATTATGAAAACCTATTAAAAAAAAATAATTCAATTTTCAAGAAAATACAGACAAGGTTTTTACCTTTAAGTTAGATAATAAGTCAATAATTCACTAATATTAAAGATAACCAAATTATATTACAATTAATGAAAGTGAATTTTTTATGTTCATTCATAAAGTAAAAATAATACATGCAAGTCTTTTTAAATTAAAGTAATAAAATTACTTATTTCATGTATTATTTCACATGATCTTAATAATTCATATGACTTTAAATATATTAGATTTGTAACTTTATGTTTTGAAATCTGAAAATTTAAAAATAAGAACTCACTATGTACCTATATTATCTAAACATTTTCAAAAATCTAGAAAAATAATCTTATGAAATATTCAAAATGGCAACATTTTTTTTTGTAGATATAAATGTTAAAAAATAATTGTATACTGTGTAATAATTAATTATTATTTGTTCTCTAACCTTTCATCAGTAGCATATAATATTGCACCCCTTTCATCACACATAATTTTCATCATTTCTTGTAATCTTTCATTACAACCAACACCACCAACTATTAGTACTTCTTTTGACTGACAGTGAGACATTGCTCTTTCTGAAAAATGATAAAAATTTATTTTTAAATTTAATGTACCCTATTTAATTAATACTAATTTTTGTTTTTGCTTTTCAAATATAATGAAATAATTAAAAATTTAATTATTCATTTAAGAATATTATTCTACTAGATATTTTTTGTCTTAAGGGAAAACTTTATGTTAAGTTATTTGATATTTGGATATTTTACATTGATTAATAATTAATTCTTACCAATTTATGATTTCATAATCATAAAATGTATATGATTTCAATACTGTACTATATTAATTTTAGAAGAATGTTAAAATATAGAGCCAAAGTTACCACGATATATTATTAACAAATTTTAAGTGTAAAATTTAAAATATATAATTATATTTTGTATTTTTGTGATATTAAAGTTGTAATGTGAAAGCTATACTTGTACATGTTGTCTCCGTTTAACAAAGATAATATAACAAAATTTATGTTCTGAATAATTTGTTCAACTATTTTATGGTTAATATTATAGTGAATTTACTAACTATTAAATTTAATTTTAAAAATATTATCTATAGAATCTTTTAATTTTTATTATAAGTTATGAGCATTTTAAAATATAAAGAAATTATGAGATTTACTGGATAATATTCTTATTTTTATAATAGATAATAGGCCGATTTACATTAATACAGGGGTGTCTAACCGACCAACCCGCGGTAGATATTAATGCAGTGCTCACTTTAATTTGATAAATCATCAATTGTGTAAATTATATTAATATTACTTAAAAAAAAAATTTACTACGAAAGAATTTATTTTAAGAATATAAAACTAAAAAATATTAAAAATCAAATCAACTAATGTATTAGAGTTTTATCTTTATTGGGTCTGATAGCACAAATGTTATATTTTCTTGTAATTATAATTGATGTTTTCCCATATTATAATTTAATCATTAAATTTGATTGTATTTGGCCCACAACTTCTACTCAAATGATGTGGCCCAACCTTCACAAAAAGTTGGACATCCCTGCACTAATATTAAATACAAGTTAAATGGATTATTTTGAACATAAAATTTGCTATGTATGAGTTTGTAAAAAGGAGACAAGGCATGCAAGTTTAGCATCCTCTTTATGAAATTTTAAAACAGTATGGGTTACAATTTTCAAATTATCATTAATCTAACAAATAACCAAAGATAATTTTACTTGAGTTTACCTGTTGTTTCTATAAGCATTGCAAAAAGAGTTTCTTGAAGTGAAAAACACAAATCTTCAGGGGTATATTCACCAGATGACAACAATGTTTGTGCTTTTTCTTCTATATAAGATAATATACCAGAGAATGATACATCCATACCTTTTACGACATAAGGTAATTTAAGATATTTTTTACCACTAAAAAACATTTATACATTATTTAAAACAAATTTATAATTTTTAATTTGATGCGTTCAATTACTTTTTAGCCATTTGTTCAATATTGTAACCAGGACTAGGATCATTGGATAATTTTAAAACTCTTGCAAATCTGTCTAAGCAATTTCCAACAGCAATATCAATTGTTTCACCAAATATTCTATAAAAATTCTCAGAATAAGCTATGACTTGAGTGTTTCCTCCACTAACATACAAAACAGTAGGGTTGTCACTACCTGTTATTAAGCGCCCCATTTCTATATCTAGTCAAAATCATTAAGGTTGAAATCCAATAGTTAGTATTCAGTGTTGAATCCAGACAATTTCTCTAGGGGGAATCACTTCTTTTTCATTGATGAATGATGATACATTTTTTACAATTTGGACATTAGGAGTGATAATCATAGCAAGTATTGTGCAATTGTGCATTTAATAAATAGGTACACTTTGTTGAAAGTGGTATTTGTTAGGGGGGAAGGGTCAAATGCCCCCCTGAAGTATATCTGGATTCAACATTGTTAATATTAGATAAGAACGTAAATGTCTTAAAAGGATACGTGCAATACAATGGTTAACAGGTATTAAAGGTTTGTTCCAAAGTTGAGCAATAGTACGTGCCACAGTAGCAACACTAATCAAAGAAGGAGCAATTCCAGGACCTTTTGTGAAACATACAATATCAATCTGTTCTGGTTGTATGCCAGATGTTTTGATTGTTTCTTCTAATAGTGATATAATATTGTTTTGGTGGTGTTGTGCTGTTTCTCGGGGTAAAAATCCTAAAAGCAGTACAATAAAGGTTTATTTTTCAAAAATAGGTAACAATTAAAATGGAAGAAAAATATTAACCTTCGCCGGGTGGAGTAATGTATGTTCTTCTACAATTCGCCAGCACCTCGCCATCTTTAACGATTCCAATTCCTAATTTATTTGCACTACCTTCAAATCCTATGCTAATAACCATTGTTTTGAAATAAATTATTTAAGTTCACTATTTCCTGTGTTTTTCACTTGGTCGTTTTCTATAACAGTAATCCAGCGTATGAAATTTCAAGTCATTAAGACTAATAATTACTAATTAGTAACAAATTAATATATTCCAATAAACTTATGAATTTATGATAGTCTTGATAGAGTTAAATAACTTATCAGTTATCACTAAAAGCAACGCCGGCCCGCATGGACACATGTGTACTTTATAGAACTCTACTATGCGTCACGGCCTTATAATATTATCACAAGACGGCGACAGTCATTATCACAGTGATAACGTAGTATCATATAATGGTTACTGAAAACGGTTTAAGATAATATTAAATTTAATTTGTTCTATGATAATATATTAAACCGTGATTATAGAACACAACAACGTCACCTACACACAATAATTAGCTGACAATAACAGTGTCTATGAACTCAACGTCTCCCTCTCTAAACTCGTCTACCGCTGTCTACTAGTGATTTAAGAGTTAAGATTCGAAACGGTACAACCATAACTTACTCTATGGGTACAAAACAAAAGATTGTTTTGTTCTTAGAATGAAAATCGTTGTACCACGGTTACGTGTAAAGCGTAAATACTTATACCTTCTGTAACCTAAATCTAACATATGTTTTTCATTTATTTTATATTTTTATCTACAATATTGTTCTGTATATTTTCATTAAATAATAATACAAATTTTTTTTACTACCTAAACAGTTTATAATTATTTGTTTTTCGTTACTTGAATAATTGGTAAATATTTTATATTTTCTCTTCAGCTTGAGTTTTTGTTTCTCCAAATTAAAATTTTTTTAAAATTTTTATTTTATATATTTGCTCAAATCTTTAAATATTTTCTTAAATTAATTGACTGTGTTATTTACTTATGTCCATAAGCTATTAATCATGGATAAATTCAGCACATCTCGTTATAAATGTTTTAAACTCTTAACAGAATTAACATGAAATTGTTAAGACTAAAAATTAAAAACGATTCTGTGCTTTAGACAAAATATAATATTAAGATGTCGTCAAATAACACTATTGAAAATTCCAAGAATACTGGTTTGTAAAATCCTTAACGAAGTTATTTGAGTTATTTTTATTTTATGTTTTTATCCTATGATAGATATGCTTACTCGAAGTTACTCTGATCGAAGTAATGATCGAAATCGAGATGCTAATAGTAACCGTGAACGTGATTACGATGGATTAAAGCAACAATGTGATAAAGCGATGCACGAATTGATGATGTTAAGAAGGTATATAATTATTCTATTATAAAATCTGAAAAAAATTTAAATCACATATTCTGTTTTATTTATGTAGACAACATGGTGAAACAGTAAGAAGATATGATCAAACAAGAAAAGAATTAGAGTATTATCGTGGTCAAAATCAAGTTATGATTAACCAAATCGAACAGGCAGCTCAAGAATCATCTTCATTACGTGCTAAACTAGCTGCTGAAAAACAAATTTTGAATAGATCTGAACAGGTATATATTTTACTGCTTATTAAATATTTGAAAGAGCAACATAATTGATTTTGCAAGGGATTAATATTCTAACTAATTTTAAATTTCTTTGTAATTTATATTTAATTCTAGTGGTATTATATCAGTATCTATTTAAATTTTACTGCCTTAAGTACAAATTGCTCATTTAGTATAAAATTATAAATCTTAGTCCTAAATATTTAGTATTTTTTAATTTAATTCTTAACATGCATATATTATGTTTGTAATATTTATTATATTCATGGTAAATTAGGAAATACACATTTATTTTTGATTAATTAACTTTTTATCTTTTTAATCATTAATTTATTGATTAGGATATAACTTTAAGATAAAATTAATTATCTCATTATTGTTGTTTTAATAAAATAGTTTTAGGGTTATGCTCATTTTTTTAAAATTCTGGTAATAGGTAATCTCAATAAAATGTTCCAAATCTTTTAAACTAGGTTATTTAATTTATGAAAAGTATGAACTATCAGATTTGGACCATCATTATACCATCTTTATACTTACATTTTAAATTTTACTTTCATAGCCTAATACTTTGCAATTTAAACAACGTCATTGATTCTCAAGTATATTGTTATTCAATCCCCAAACCATTTTTTTTAAACTTAATTTATTATATCATGTATATAAGGATAAAAAAAATCAAGAATATGGAATTTTTTATGTTTCTGACAAAAATGTTAAGCAGATAGAATAAGTTTAATCATAATTGATGATATTCCAGTGTTTTGAAATTCAGAATAGATGAAATACAGAGTAAGAATGTGATTCTGAGTATTTAGGTTTCTCAGTTTTTAGGTATAAAAAAAAGTAGAAATATTGAATAAATCAGAGGAAGTTTTAGAAATAGCTCGTTTAAAACAAATTTTTCATACATCAGGGAAAATAACAAATTTATAGCTTTTTAAAAATATGTTATGTATTGGATCAGAATCAAGATATTGTATTATTTATGTATTATCTGATTGATAATATTACAATTTTTGTACTTGTTAAGACATGAAAAATAAGTACAATGATTAAATATAATTGTTCCATCAAATTCAATGCAAAATATAAAGTCAAAATAACTAAAAAATAAATTTTTTTGAAACTTATTGAGATTATTATGGTTTTGAATAAAAAATATTTTTTTAATAAAATATTAAATGTGAAAAAGTTTAAATTATTTTTCAAACATTTATGTTTAATACCTTAAGGAAAGAAAGAAATAATTAAAAACTAATATAACAATAGAAGCATATTTGTTTGTCCTGTAAAAAAATTTTAATATATGATAGGATTTATGATAAATTCAAACACAATATAATTACATAACTCTTAAAAGTGTTTACTATATTTTGCTATTTTGGTATGTGTTAAAGGTAAGTTATAATATTACTTTTAATACCCAGTTGAATTTAAAGATATTTTTTAATCTATATCCTGTTTTTAAACTCTGAATTCATTTTGATAAGCTTTATTTACATCATAGTTTATTTTTACTTCATGATGTAAGACATAGTATTTAAATTGTTTATGTTTTCTTAATAATTTAGTTGATTGTGGGCACACATTTTTACAGAATTAATCTCAATTTTAACTTCATGACATTTTTAGCAGTATCAGAACTGATTGAAGTTGCAAAAAAAAAAAAATAGAAATCTCAACCATATGTTGGCAACAAATAAGAGCAATTAAAAGTTAGGATTTATTCTCAGATGAAGTGATATAGATAAAAAATGTTCTTCTTGTATTTAAGTTTGAATTAATTTTTAATTATATTCTTAATATTTTATTTTATTAACTAATAATTTATTTAGGCGGGATAGTTTTTTTACATTATAATATATATATATACATTGTTATGAACTAAAATAGCTTCTATGAGAAATTTATCAAATTGATAAAATATATTTCAATAGTTGATCACACGTTCAGGTCCTAAATAAATTGACACATTGCATACATTTAAGATTTTTTTTAAATACTAACAAAATTTATTTATTTGCATTTCTGGTATTAATTTTGTCAGTATTATATTAAAGCATATGTAGAGTAATAAATTATTAAGTATAGAGCTTTATAATTTTATTTTGACATTATAAAAATATTTTTTTAGGATATTCCTGAAGATGATACAACAAGTGGCGATTCACTTAATGATCACTTCATGCCATATGATTCAAGATTAGAAGATTATGAAGCTTTGAGGAAAGGATATGAAGACTTACGCACTACACATTCAGCAGCTGTTGATAAAATGGATATGATGAAAGATGAAATTAATCAACTAAAAAAACAATGTAATGAATTATTTAAAGAACGAGATATAGCTTTCCGAGAAAGAGATGGTTTAAAACAACAGTGTACAGCTGCTATACGCCAATGGGATTTAACACTTCGAGAACGTAATGATCTTCAAGAAGCTATACAAAAAGTTCAACAACAACATGAAGAAGCAGTCCAAGAAATGAAAGCTGCTGTTGCTTATAGTGTAAAAAGTAGTAAGGAACTTAAAGACTTAAATAAAGCTCATGATGCTGCTGTTAAAGAATATAGTCTCATTATGAGTGAGCGAGATAGTGTTCATAATGAACTCGAAAAGCTTTCTGAAGATTTATCTCAAGCATATAATAAAAATAAATCATTGGAAAATGAAATAAAATCTTGTAGAGATGAAAAAAAAACTCTACAATTGCACATTGAATCATTAAAACGTGAAATATCATCAGCATTACATGATCGTGATAAGGCACTTAAAGAATGCAATGACTATCAAGAAAGATTTGGAGAGATAACAGCCAAAAATGAATCTCAGAGAGAATTTAAGAGTCATTTAGATTATGGCTTTAGTAGAGAAAGAGAAAATCGAAATGATTCACGAGAACAAGTGGCTTCTTTAGATTTATTCAATTCTTGTCAAAAAGAAAGAATGGATAATATAGATCAAGCTAATCAAGAAATTGAGCGTTTACGAAAATTAGCAGATAAATATCGTAATGAATTGGAAGAGTCTTTAGAGGAAGCAGAAGTATCTAAAAGACGTCGTGATTGGGCTTTTAGTGAACGAGATAAAATTGTATTAGAACGTGAAAGTATACGAACTCTCTGTGATAGTTTAAGGAAACAGCGTGATGATGCTGTGAGCAAGTTGGCGCGTGCTATGAGAGACTGTGATGATATAATGAAACAAAAAAGTGATACAGCCAAAGAACTTAATGATTTTAAGTATGATAATAATAGTTTAAAATATAATTTTTTCCAAATGTATATATATTTTCTTACTTTATAGAGAAAAAATGGAAGCTCAATTGGAAAAAGAGGCTCGTTTACTACAATTACAAGCTACTGGTCGTTATAGTCAAGATTCTGCAATAGATACAGATCTTCAAGATTGGGATACTGAAATATTAAATATTGACTTAGTAAGTATTATTTAAAATATTAAACAATTTACATATGATTTAATGTAAATGTATATTTTTTTAGGGTGTTTTAGGAACAAATGAAGATTTAGGAATTGATTTGCTTGGTGGAAGAGATGATCCTTTGTATCCCAACGATAATGCAATTTATATATCATCTATCAATAAAGGAAGCGTAGCAGCAAGGAAATTGAGGTTAAATATATTATATTTTAAGAATCTATTTG